TGACAGCTCAGTTATTTCTGAGCATGATAGAGCACTGCCAGCAAAAGATTCTATAATTCAGTCACATAGTGTGGTGATTGTAATAATGTTGTCATTGTTCATCAGTATCTACATTTTGCTGACCTGAAGGTCTTCACTACTGGACATTACACCAAGGACTCCCAGCTCCACAGTAGTAAACACACCTTGATTATGGGTCTTTACTAAATGAAAGAAAGAAGAGTAGGGCAAAGCCCAAACACTTGGGATGATTCTCTGAAATGTTATTTGTTATCTTCTTATATTTCAGTTTTTATGCTTCACACATGATGGGAGGGTGTGACGATGGCCAGTTATCTCTTGCCTGCTGAATATTTGGCCAATGATCAGATTAATGTCAATTGCACAGTTTTCAATCCCTATTTTGGCCACAGTATATTCGGGTTAACATCATCGTGCTAGCTTTAGGGGAAAAAAATCCATGATGCTTTTGTGGTTCAGCAAATAATCTCCAAACACTACCTTTGGGCAGAGAACTCAAGACAGCGGCAGCTTTGTGCACTGCAGATGAGTGAGCACAGTTGATTTGGCCCAAAATAATTAGTTCCTAGGTGCTAAAATCATTCATTACACATTACTTATTTTAATGCAAAGGACAGTTGTTACTGTCTTTTGACTGATTTAAATGACTAGATTGTTTTTAAAATGGGCATTTTAAGAGTTGGGAATTTGACCAACTCGAGCCAGCTACTACAAATAAGTTAACAATCTGGCAGGTTTCCTCTTCCTCCCAGTTCCCACCTTAGAGGAGCTGTCCTAGCCTTTCCTGCTTTTCTCTCTTGGTCTTCTTCAATCAGGCTTTGTAGAGGTTTGGAGTCTGAACAGACAGAGAATCAACACTATCTGAATGTCGTTTGCCTGACTAGCATTGGCTCTGCTTTTACCCATGCTGTGGGCTGTTTCTTTGTACATCATAAATCTGCTCATGTGCCAGTTGTGAACCTAAGAAAAATACCTGTGATGCTATCCTGTTGATGGGAATAAAGTTCTATTTTCAAGTACATTTGCTTTTTAAATTTTATTTATATAAAAATAGGTCTCCAATTATAACCCAAAATGGAATGACTCAAATGATTGCGATTAGTGTTTAACAAGGCAAGTGCACAGTAAATCAATGCAATGTAATCCATGCATAAATACAAAATCTTGTATATTTATTGGGTTTGAAGTTGAGTAAAACTCCCGTTTGAGGCTGTATTGTTTAATTTTATAATCCATTGTCTGTCGCAAAGACCATGATTCGTTCCTCATGCTAAGTTAGCCAACTTTAAATGAGACTATTCTATCCTTTCATCAGGGAGACTTGGGTTAGTGATCAGACTAAAAGATTGATGGTTGACTCTCTATGCCAGTGTGGACTGTTGCATGTTGTTTGTTTCTTGAGTTCGCCATATAGTGAAGTAGACGTTACTGTATCGTTCTGTCTTGATCACTGATGTGTGTGAGTGTGAAAGAGAGTGAGAGATTGGTCAGCTCCACCATTTGATCATGGCTGATTTGTTTCTCAACCTGATGCTCTTGCTTTCTCCCTGTAATCCTTGATCCCTTTATTAGTCAAGAATGTATCTATCTCTGTCTTAAGTACACTCAGTGAGTTCCACAGATCGATTCATCATCTGGCTGAGGAAGTTCCTTCCATCTCAATTCTAAAGGGTTGTCCCTTCACTCTGAGGCTGTGCCCTTGGGCCTTAGTCTTTCCTAGCAGCAACATCTTCTCCAAATCCACTCTATCCGGGCCCCTCAATATTCTGTATGTTTCAATCAACCTATAAACTCCAAGTACAGACCCAGAGTCCTCACCTGTTCTTCAAATAACAACCCCTTTGTCACCAGGATCATTTTTGTAAACCTCCTCTGGGCTCCTTCTAAAGCTGGCACATCATCCTTTTAGATACAGGACGCAAAACTGCTCATACTATTCCAAACCTTGTCTGACAAGACTCTTATTCAGCTTCCTCGAAATGAATGCTATTATTGCATTTGCCTTCCTAACTGCCAACTGAACCTGCATGTCAATCTTAAGAGAAA